ATTAGTTTATTAGAAGTTACTTCTTTATTAAGTCTGGAACCCAGATCCTAAACATAAAGCAATTAGCCCCAGTGATTTCATCTAAATTAAGTACAGTTGCTATTCTGTCAACCCCTACCTGAGTAGATATAGCTGTGGTGACTGTGTTTCTTTCCTCAGAATCCTACCTAATATATTTTGTTCCCTTGAAACACTGTCTCATTAAATGTCCTGCAGATTATTTAGGCAAATGGCAAATACATTTTGATATTTTAATACCACACTAGATGTGTGATTATTCACATTATGGCTAGTTGGAAGGTTTTATTGTTTACCATAGTAGCAGGTTTCAGGAATTCTGCTGCTCTGAAGGCTATTCTGCCACATTTCCAATCAATGGTGCCTGAAGTTTCTGCACATAAATTGGTTTTGAAAGAAGTGTGGAGAGGACAATTTAGATAGAATGATCTTTACTTCAACTTGCAAAATAGATTGGAGTTATTTCTCTGGGAACCTAGATTAGCTTTAGACCTAATTTATAATGAGCAGCTTTGCAGTGAGGATGTATACTATTCTCTTTGGGTCAATTGGCAATGGTAATCAGTTAATACAATGCAAATAGCTGCATAACTGTGTAAACTATATGAAGCCAGAGTATTATTAGCACAAACTACGCTACAAAACAATAACTCTCGATCCTGGAGTTTTCCAAATGGCAGTATTATGAAATAGGAACTACTACTGCATTAGCAATTTTTTTTAAGTTTTACACTAAAAACTAAATCAAAACACTGTGATTTGATTAGACAAGTGGTATATATTCTGGCTACAATAAAAATCCTTGGTTTTCTCTTTTGTTTTCCAGGCCATGTAATTAGTTCTCTGTGTGTTTTTTACATCTTTGAGTTCTTTCTTCCATTTTGGAACCATTTTTCTCTTGACTGGTTCTTTATAGTTTCTAATATAGTTTTATCTCTCTTCATTACGATTAAGAGAGGAACAAATTTGGATAGGATCCCAATAGAAACAAAGTTTTCATTGAAATTGCCATTTTAGTTGGAAGGAAGATTTGACTCTTCCCTCCATCAATACCTTTGTATTTTTCCCTTCTGTGAAGTCTTCTAATTGTTCTTTGAACATGGAATTGTAGATTGTGCCATCATGGCTATAAAAAAGTTGGCACTCACTCTGAAACTTCACCACTGGAGGAAAGATTGCAAAATGTAAGGTCACATGAATATAAAAAGCTGCTTTATAGAAGGTAATATATTTGTCCACTTAGGTAGTCGTGCATACTCTGATCACCATGGCTTTCTGGTCAGCAAAACCTTCCAGATGACTTTCTGCATGTAAAATGTGTTCTTCCATTGAGTTATAGATACTATATATCTATATATTTCCACACATACAAAAAAGAGGAATTCTTTTCCATGCTTACATTATTAATTTCACAATTTTTCTAACGTAGGCAAAAAAGGATCACAATTAATCTTTTCTGCATCTGTGGAAATTATATAGCAACGTTAAATTTCTCAATAAATATTAGTCCCTTTCCCCAGTATGAATAGGGACGCAACATGGTATGATTCTAAAATAACAACTTTGTTTCTGGGTGGTATTGCCTCTGGCTGTTGTTCAGTAGGCAGGAATGAAGGAAAAAGAAATGTGTGCCTGCTCAGAAGAGCCTTTGCTGTAAAAGCTACAAGTCACGGATTAGTAACAGACACAAGGAAAAGGAAACTGGAAATGTATATCAAGGGATTTTCTAAAAATATTAGAATGTACTTGTTAGATTAATAACATGGCATGCAGTTCCTTTTCTACTTATTCTTTACTCCAAAGTTAACAAACATGGCCCAGATCCAGGTCTGAACCCCCATTTGTGCAAAGAAGAGTCTTAGTTGTTTCTTTTCCAACTGCTTCCCCTATGAAATATGGCACTACAGTGGAGCAGTAGTTTAAAAGAGAGAAAGAAAGCCTCTATTATGCCACTGGAATTTTAAAAAAAACTTTTAAAACTTTTTTAAAAACTTCCAATGACACAAGTTTTAAAAAAAACTTGCAAACTTCAGGAAAGACATGATCAGAAAGGAGAAGATTAGACCTGCATGCTAAATGGAGAACAATAAGAGATTATCTAACCCACAGTCTGACTTTAAATTTTGCACCCAGGCTAGATAATTCATATGCTGAATACACTAAGAACGTGCTTCAACAAATGCCACAATAGGACTTTTTGAATGGTGCCCGCTGGTGTACTTATTTGCCTCCTTGCTTTGCTAGAAAATGTTTAAAATTGTTCTGAGTCAAATGAGAATGGGCTGAATATCTAGAAAGTAGTTGCAGACATATAAATGGGAAATGAATGGGGCACTTTTAGGGCCATATAATCAACTTTTGAGATTTTTCTTTTCTGTTGTGGGTAAGAGTATGAGGAAAATCATTCTGGGGCTGCTCAGGTTTTCTATTCCCAGCAGAATCTGTCTTAAAATACCCAAGCGCTCTCTCTCTGAGACTGGGTGTGGCTCAAGTTATAGCATCATGGTCTTCTATCATCTGACATTTTTCCAGTAAGTTTTTTGCTCACCATATATGAAAATATATTTGACTGCTGTTCTCATTGTGGTATATCCTTCTACTTTTCTGTCACCATCGCAGTCTTTTGGAGGATGAGTAACAAAACCGTAATATAGTGAACTGGCTATTTGGAAAGTAAGGTTATACCCTCACTTGAAAGAATATGGTCAGTGAGCTGAAATGTCTCCATGCAGCAAGGGTAGCTCGTGTATATACAAAATGGAGGGCAATGTGTACCCCCAACTCTATTAAGCCCCTCCCCTTAATATTTCTCTTGGCTCCAGTCCCTAAAGCTCTTTCAACATTACCAAGGAACACTTGTTCAATCAGATATGGTGAATGATGGACGATTGCTATGCTTTTCAATATTGGTCGTGCCCACATGTGTTGTTGCTGCTGGAGTACAGCTATTAAGCTACTAAAAAGTATTTGGATGGCCAGTTTAGAAGCAGAATGCTGGAAGGAAGCAATGGGCTTGGCTAAGGTTATAAACTGTAAGCAGGAAATAAAGTGAGCCACATTTGGGATCCTTAGTTTGTTAGTGACGATGTTTAAATCAACCACAGATTAATGCAGCTGAGATACAAATGTATCCCTCCACTCCTTAAAAAGTATTCATCTTCTCCCAAAGGAGAGAGAGTGAGATGCAAGGCTATATTTTCACATAAGATGGTGGTTCAGCAGCTGGTATCCTCTGCATAAAAAGACACAGTCACTGCTGGGTGAAAAGGCTAATAGTGAGGACACAGGCCATGGGGTAAGAGACTTATCTAGATGACCATTTCTTAACTGACAACTATCAAATGTAGATTTAAGTGAAAAGTGTACCTATATACTTACGTTAAATATACTACAATTGTCTTTGTCAATGATTCTGAGAAAGATTATTTGATCAACACTTGAGTAGGTCATTGGCAAAATATTTTTCACCTAATTCCAACCCCAACTCTGCTATCTGTGAAGTCTGTCTTCTTGAGTTGATGCCTTCAGCCTGGCTATTTGTAAAATGCTGTGTGTTCTTTATTGGGGTGTGACATATTTGGTAAACTGAAGCAAGTTATTCTAAAAATCTTCTAATATTACCATTTGACTTGGAGTTTAAGGATAATTTAGTTCAGTTAGTAGGTCTTTTAATTTCATTCTAAGCTTTTGTTGTAGGTACTGTTCACTATGGTTATATAAATTGCACCTGTATTTAATGTGTTCACCTATCCTGTCCTTTTGTTCTTCACCCCCACCCCCAAATATCAGGCCAGAACAGAAATAGTATTGCCACTCTTTAAAGTTAGTAAGGGAACAGGAGAGGTCAATTGTTCCCTTTCCTTAGTCTGCTCTTGCTTATGAATGCTTCAGCCTTCAGCCTCTTAACATCTTTAAGTTCACTAGGTGCTTTCACTTTTATAAAGTGCTTCCAATTTTATATACAGATTCAAATCCTGATTTTAAAATCTTTAATCCATTTTAAACTAAACTGTGTAACCATTAGAGACAGTTATATAAAGACAGATTATAAATAAGCATGAAAAGGAAGGTGTGAATGAATGAAAGTGGAAGTACACAGTGTTATAACTCATGGCCCTTTATCCCCAGTAAAAACATAGGCAACATTCCAGCTACACATTATTTTAGTACATTGTACTAAAATAGTGTTGCTATTTTTCATGACTCTTCTCCTTATCACCATATTTTCTGAATATAATCTATATCCTCTAAATTTGACTTTTAGCCACTGACTTCAAGTGAAGGGAAATGTTTCCAGCCGTCCTTGCTTCACTTCCAGTACATAAATCAGTTTGGATAAACTTCATATTCTTCATGGCAAGCATAAAATTGCCATATGAAGTCCTCTGCCTAAGTGTGTGCCCATGAAAATCACTGCATGTAAGCAAAGCAGACAGAGTTCTTGGGCTCCTCTAGTGGTGTTAAATTATAGCTCTCAGGAGCTCCAGTCAGCAAGTTCAGTGGTGAGGAATGTGTAAGTTGTATTTCAGCAGCTTTTGAGGGCCAGAGGTTCACCACCACCAATAAAAGCATGTTAAAACACAGCAACTGTGAGGCAGCTGAGAAAAAGGCTAGTTGCTACTAGTGAATGTATCAAATCGACAGCTTTCACTGATAAGTCTCCATTCAAATCCTGTAAGAAAGAGAGGTGTAAATTACAAGCAGAGGCTGGAGTGCAGGGGATACAGACAGGTGATTACATGATCTTAACAGAGTAGCAACCTTTGAATGCAGAGAGCTCTGTGCTGTGTACGACCACTGCTGATGTCAGGCACTATTCCTTTCAGTTTTTATGTAGAATGATTTGCTGTTCTTGTGGGGGGTTGGGAGGGACAAAAAAGTGGGTTTGTTTTTTCTCCTCCTTATTTACATTCTATCATCACGCTTAAGAAAGAACTGGATATTTACAGAATTTTTCCCCCATCTTTTGTTGCAATTTTTAGGTGCTTCAGAGCTGAGCCCATTTTCAGATCCCAGGCAGTTTACAAGCATTTCATCCCTCACTGAGAGCCGCTTCTCCAACCCACGAATGCACTATCCAGCCACCTTCACTTATACACCGCCAGTCACTTCAGGCATGTCATTGGGTATGTCAGCCACCACTCATTACCACACCTACTTACCGCCACCTTATCCGGGCTCTTCCCAAAACCAAAGTGGACCATTCCAGACCAGCAGTACTCCATATCTCTACTATGGCACATCATCAGGATCATACCAGTTCCCCATGGTGCCGGGGGGAGACCGTTCCCCCTCCAGAATGCTTCCTCCCTGTACCACCACATCCAACGGCAGCACATTATTAAACCCTAACTTGCCTACCCAGAATGATGGTGTGGAGGCTGATGGAAGCCACAGCAGCTCCCCAACAGTCTTGAATTCTAGTGGCAGAATGGATGAGTCTGTTTGGAGGCCTTACTGAAATTTTCTCTGCGGGGCGTAAAATCTGTCAGACAGAAAGCAAACCAATAAACAAACGATTGTCAGCTGATTATAAAGTGCCTGTTTTTTTGTTTTTGAAATAGATTCTGTTGATAAGTGCAGTAGCTGGGATGTTAACAGCTAATTACATGCATACGACATGAGACTGACTTTCCACATCATAGTTCCAGTCAATGTGGATCAAAGCACAGTTTGTTTTCCTCCTGGGAATGTTGTCTCCATTTTATATTTTAAAATATAATGATCCAACCCCAAAAGATGCCCATTCTGTCTAGACTCCTTTAAAAAAAAAAGCGAGTTTTTTTGCCAAGAGAGGAGACATGGACTCCTGCCAATTGTCAAGACAACGCCTGTGCTTTATTTGTTGTTCAAATAAACAGAAGCATCTTAAACGTCAGGTACGGTTGCAGTCATACAATCTCTAGGACCCTCACGCATGCACAGTGTAATTCACTCCGTGTGTTTGTGCACAGAAAAAAAATGTTTCCATTTATATCAGAATATCTTCAGCTTACAATAACTCCTCAGTCATCTTATCAAAGCCTTGCCTCTGATGAAAGAGAAAACTTCTGAAGTACTTGGCTTTATTCTTCTTCTTTTGCTGAAATAGCACCCTATAAGGTACCAAGGCAAACTTGTTTGTTTTGTGTTATACATTTTTGTGATTACCTTTGCCTTAGTCAAGTTAACCAAAAAAATTCTTGGGGAAAAATGTCCCCCAAGTGAAACAAACAAACAAAAAAAAAACCCCACAAATTTCTTATGCAAGAAAAAAAAGAGAATGGCAATATATCATACTCAAACCAAAACAGTATCAGTAGTATGTGTGCGTGGCTATCTTGTTTTATTTTATTAAGTTATAATGTGTACAAAATTGAGGTTATATGCAAAAAATGAATTGTCATATAATTTTAAAGAAATATTTATAATTATTTAATAATGTTTGGTCCCTTTAAGGTTTTTTATAATGTAATGATATGTTGACTTCGGTCTCTAAAAATGTCTGTTGTTTTTAAATTGTGGCAGCCTTTGACTGGTACAGAATATCAGACCATGCATGAACTCTGAAAAGCAGTTTCAGTATAAACTATCTGCAATATGTATTTTTTTAAATAATAATAATAATAATTAAATGCTTCCATCTCTAAAGAATTCAGGTATAATCGTACATTGGCTTAATTTATGAAGGAGGTACTGCTTTAATTGTAACTGAATATTGGGTTGTCTTTTTTTTAACCCAGTAAAAATTAACTGGAAACAGATTGAGCAGGCATTATTTTGAATACATTACTCTACAATCCCTCCAGGAGGTGGGATCTAAAAGCCCACATGGACACTTCTGCTCTTAACATGGAGCCTCTCATTTCTGCCCTTCCCTAGGCTGTCCTCTGCACTGCAAAGCTCTGTCCCTCAATATTGGGGCCTTACTAGGAGGGTTTCTTGTCGAGCAGAAGAGACACCCCCTCTCTCCCACACATACATTTCAAACATACATATACATATGTTTTAATCCCAGCCAGCTTCATCTGGTGAAATTCAAAAGTTTTCCATGTTTTTCAATCAGCATTTGGGAAATAGTAAAACAGCCCTGCATTGGCACAAGAAAAAGGTTCTCCGATGTGAGACATTTCAGAATTCATCCACTTACCTGAAATCAGTAGCTGGAGTAATTGCTTTCTGTTTAAGAACTCTTAAATATTTTTTTCAGGAACTATACATTATGTTACAAGGCATTGTATTGAAAAGGGATAAGCACACGTGAACCACTGCAGAGGCTCTCTGCAGTTCAGTGCTGCTCCAGCATCTGGCAACATATAGTAGCTGAAGGTTGATTGTAGACTTCAGTAAAATCAGGCACTGCTTTCCTAACTGAAAGACTCGAATATTCCTGAAGCTCTTAAAATCAACCATCCAACATTTACCATTTATCTTTTTTTGCTGGTAAGCAAGCCAAATTAGTTCCTTGGCAAGTATGTGTCTGTGTCCCTAATTATTCTGGAATCTTTGATAATTCTTATTTAGACTCTGGTAGATAGAAAAGCTCATATGGCACTTTACACGAAATCCAGCAACTTGTGGCTTTGTGCATAGGCCCAAATGAAACAGGATGTGAGGATGTGAATGAAAGGTAGGGAGTAGCAGGAGCCCTTTAAAAGGAGGTGTCACCTTCTTGAAATCCATTTCTTTCTAGCCTCTATTTTGATTCCTTTGCACTGTCTTTAGCTTGAGCTGTGTGCAACAGTCTTTTCCATGGATTGCGATGCTGCTGAAACTAATGATAGTTAGATGGAGTCAATAAGAAAATGGTGAAACACTTTACACAATACAGTTGGACAATTTCGGTGATAGCTTAGATAGCTAAAACAGCCAACAGAATGATTCTACATTCCCATGAATTATTCTTGACAACTTAATATAATTCATTTGCTCCTTAGGAAACATTATTGGCCTTCTAAAGGTTATTGATCAAATCCCCTTTTTATAAATAGGAGAGACTTTCCTGATGTGTAATTTTCTTCCAAAGATGGAAGTTGCTATTGATCCTATTTATTGTTTGCGGTAGCTTGAAGCATACCCTTGTCCATTGATTTTTATCTGTAAGATAAGTATGTTCATTTCAGCAGCACTTAAAAAAGCTAGTGTCTGGTTACACATTTCAAGTTGTTTGGAATATTGTTGATGAAACAAACCAAAATAAGGACATGAATTGCCAGTGCAAATGCTGTTGTGTATTTAATAAAAGGTACTATATTCGTACATTATTTTTATTGCTGAGAAGGCCTTTTAAAAGATATACTATATGCATCTTAAATAATTTTGTAGGATATTTTTTGTTGCTACAGGGGCTGCAGGCAGCAACCCAAATGCATTTAAAAAGAAAGGAAGAAAGAAAGACATTCTTGTACAATTTCAATACTGCTTTATATTCTTGGATTTAATCCAGCATAGATCATTTTTATATTCTGTTCTGTAGCTTCAGTAATGTTTCTATATCATATTTTGGGATCATTTCGGATTAAAACTTCAGGTTGCTCAGGTGTGCAGTTTTGCTTGCCCCAAAACATGCCCTGTTCATGCCCTTCTACTGTTGACCGCACCATTGAAATGGTTTGCTTTACAGTTCAGAGTAACCAATAATAATAAAAGAAGAGAGTCTTAAGCACCTTTGATATAAGCACAAGGCCCTTGTTTAGTGTCTCTCATGTTTTAAGTGTGCCTTTAAAAAAATAGACTCAAGCTCTCAGTTGGAAACATCTTTATCCATCTAGGGAGATACTTAATGCCTTGCTGGCATCAAGAGAAACGTAAGCTAAAAGTTCAAGCTTTTTACGGTTACTATAATGTTTCTCCTGTGTGTCACCCATCTCTTCTTCCGAATTCATTTTTATTTATTTATTTTGATACAGGAAGGGAATGTGGGATGACATTAGCATTATGGGCTGTAGTTAGAATCTCAAGTCCAGAGGAAAGGCTGGCCCAGTTTATAGTGTTAAAAATGCTTGTGCAGACGCATTTACAGAGAGATTTTTCAAGTCTTGGCCCTTGGATAAAACTCAGAATTCTCTTGTAAGCTTGGGCATGACGAATCCAAAGTTTATTGGTACAAAACAGGCACTAGCCCATGAAAAAACCCTTGTCACAGCATCTAGGAAGGTGCTCCATTGAACCGGACTCTAAGCTAGCAGTCCCTGGGCATGGATTTGCTAGCCAGTATCTCCTCCCTTTTCACCAGGCTTCATCAAGGAGAGATTTTTGCACTGTCAAGTTTGCCAGATAGGTTTACCCTCCTTTCTTGCTGGAGTCTCCATTTCAGTCCTGGTGAGGTCATGCATCAGGACTCTGAGAAAAGCCATGAACAAAAGCAATAATTTAAATAAAATATAAACCAAAGGAAATACTGTTTTCTAAGAGCTTTATTTCTGTGATAACATTTCATTTCAGTATATTTGACCTATCATTTAACCATTTATGTTTCTTGCAATATTTTTAAATAGATCAGCCAGAAATCATATTTTACAGTACTTTTTGTTTCCTAGGTACACTAAGCAATATTCCACAGTATTTTTTGCTTAAATATGTTTTACCAGTCTTGAATTTCTTCTGGAGCAAAATATTTGTAGCATTTCCTGTAAATACAAGCTTTAATTTCTTTCATTTTCCCCCAATTGCTGTTGTCCAAAAATTGCTTTCCATGCACAGATTGTACAAACACATTCTTTTTTTTTTTGTGCCGCAGACAGCGATTGTGGAAGGGAAGGGTTTACTTTATCTTCAAAGGGACTGTGTGTATTGTATGTTGCAACTGTAAATTGAATTTGTTTGGCATTCTCTCATGATTGTAATATTAATTTTGAGGTTTGAATCTCATTTTCAATAAAGTGGCTTTTTTGTTATTGTTGTTCCTTGCTTCTTTGTTTTCTGCTGCATCTCCATAATTATGTCTTTCATATTTGTAAATAGACTAGAGCTGACTGGAGCCAGAGTATGCTGAAATACCAAACTGCACATTGACAGCTTCTTTAATTTCTGCAGGATAGAAACTGCTATTTTAAAACAGCACATTCCTAATCTTAAGCATAGTTATATGAAACTCCAAGGATCCCTGATTAATGGTGCACATCTAATGTTGCACCATGGCCTGTATCAAAATAAGAGCTTACTTTAATTAATGAAAAAAGCAGAGGGGGTGAGGTATTTAACATTGTTGCTGTGGAGGAAAAAGTAGAAAGAAAGAAAAGGCACTAGAAGGTAACCATTCTCTCAAATAATATCTGTATGGTATGTTTTATGATGGAGTCATTAGCACAGTCAGAAATTGTTCCTTTTCTTCTTTCTGTTTTTTTTTAAAGCAAGGGTACGAGGAAAACGTCATTGTGAAGTTTTCACTTAAGGCCCTATTATTTGGTCTGGTGCCACAATTTTTGTAACCGAACGGTGGAGAAATGAAGGTTTGGCGGTGTTCTGAGGGCTTACATCTATCCCATGTATGTGCTACTAGCCTACTACCAAAAGAAGAAGAAGTGGGAGGGAGAGAGGGAAAGAGAGAGAGTGAGAGGAGCCCCATTTTTATAAGGACTCTGTTTCATGACAGCCTCCTGTTTACATCAGTATTCATATAACAGTTCAGAGTCTTCTAGGAAACTGGTATATAAGCTGTTGACCACAGACCAAGTACTGTTTGTGCTGTTTGCAGGGAAACAATAATGGATATTATATAGTATATGTCACCTTTGGGTTGCTATCTAGTGCAGCTAAGTGCATTACACTGTTTAATCCATACAAGTATGTCGGGGTTGAGAAACATAGGCCCCCAACCCTCATCAGTCCTAGCCACTTGGCCAGTAGACAGAAATGCTGGGAGTTGCAGTTTAGCAATACATAAAGAGCCACAGGGCCTCCATCCATGCTAAGAGTTGAAATTGCAAAGTTAATTTTTTTCAATAAGCAATTTTTTCCAATGATGAGAAGTCAAGACGTGCTTTTAATAAATTAATTAATAAATATTGACATTGAAGAGGTTGATGTCAATTTGATGGTACATAAAATAAATAAATGTCATGAACTCAATAATAGTAACTAAAGATTCATAGTTTATTTCTGGGTGAGAAATAAAGGCAGAT